AGATGGAAAACTAAATAACTATAGAAAAGATTATTCTCTCTTTTATACACATTTTAAAATGCTGACGAGTCAAAAAACTCATAACCATTTGTGACCAATGTTGGACCCATTTGGTATACTAAATGCAGATTCTTGAGCATAAAGCTTAATCTTTAAGTTGATGAAATAGGAATTTGAAACGTTGTTGCCTTTTTCTTTATTAATATTCAATTATTGCTTCTTTTTTAATGGATAGGCATCAATATTTTAAAACATGGCTATGAAAAGATACTTGAGCCTTTGCCGACCCGGATGACTCCCACGTGTCTAAGGCGAGTCACTCGAGTCTAGCTCGAAGCCCTCGAATTCCCAAGAAAAGGAAGAAACCTTAAAACAAAACTAGTAAAAATACAAAAAAAGAAAGAAAAGAAAAAAAAGGGAGTATATAAAACATGAAATATGGAAAATTGTGATGCTATTGATTTGAAAACGGTCAAAAAATCCAAAAATATGTGAAAATCTTCCTTTTTTTGATGGATAAGCATCAATATTTTAAAACATGGCTATGAAAAGATACTTGATCCTTTGCCAACGCGAATGAGTCCCACGATTCCAAGGCGACTCACTCGAGTCTAGCTCGAAGCCCTCGAATTCCCAAAAAAAGGAAGAAACCTTAAAACAAAAATTAGTAAAAATCCAAAAAAGTAGAAAAAACAAGGGAGTATATAAAACGTGAAATATGGAAAATTTTGATGCTATTGGCTTGAAAAAGGTCAGAAAATCCAAAAATATGTGAAAATAGGAATAATAGAGGAATTCAAATTATAATTGGTTGCAAAAAAATTTAAAAGTATATCGAAAATCTAAAAAATAAATTATATGAATTTGAATTAATGAATTGAAAAAAAAAAAAGGTTCTAGTTTCATATAGCCCCACCCAAACCTCTCCACCCCTTCTTAGGGACAAAGAACTAAAATACCTTGATCGTGATCTCTATTCTGCCCATGAGTAAGGTGGACAACTTGCGCTGTATAGACTTGCCTTATCCAGCCCATAGTTATTGGATCTTCTAAGGAGGGAGTCATTCCTGCCTCGGAAGCTCGATCTCGTGCTCCAAGACACTGGACATCAATGCCATGTATTTCCTTGATGTAGGGATCTTGATCTAGGAAATAGGGAAACTACATCCCTATTATTGGGATCCAGATAACTACGCCCAAAAGTCATGGTTTTATGAGTAACTAGAACCACGATTCACCAACTCGGAATAGACTCTCTTCTACTTTGAGAACGAATTTTACCAGCACATTTTCAGGTTCATAAACAATGATATGTGGATCTCCAATTTTTATGACCTGCAAACTTTCTAAAAACCCCAGGTTGCTATATATTTTACAATTTACAACTTCGTACTTAAGAAAAAAAAGCAATAAGAGAGGGAGGGGAGAGAAAAGAAAGAAGATGGTTAAGTGTCAACCTTGTATGAGTTCTATCTTTTTCATGGGTTCCTCTTTTGTTTCTTGAAATTTTTGTAAAAGGGGACACTCATGGTTTCAACTTCGTCATTGATCAATTATTAATTGATCACCATTCGCATGATGCTTTTCTTCCATTTTCAAAGATTAGAAAAAAAACTTATAGCGAAAAAAGATGTCTGAAAAATTGCCTGAACTAATGGTGGAGGATTTTAGCATATCCTTAGTCTTATTAAAAACACCAAAATTCCATGAATTTCGGAAATGTTGTGGATAGTTATCATGTTTTTAGATTTTGATACCAACTTCCTCAAGATCTGTTTGGGGGCCTTGGAAGCAGAAAATAACTTGACCTGATGACCAATGACTAAGTGTACTATGAATAGTTAATTAACATATTTGATATAACCTGGTTTTGTAGTTCCATATTGACTATAGATACCCCTAAAATACTTTTCTCTCTCATCTATGTCAATAGTATCTCATTACATGTTACTCCAGGTTTATTATAGTTTCTTAGTTACCTCATATTCTAATCTTATTGTGAATTCGGAATTTTGATAGATTTTGTTTTAGTCCTTATATCTCTTGGATTGATTTTGTGGGAATGACAAAATGAGAAACCTCTCATTTCTTTTGCTCTCTTGATCAATGTTAAAAAAAAAGAAGGACCGCCCAGCGCCTAGGCGGTCCAAAAGGCCTAGGCGCGTCGCTCAGGTCTAGGAGGTCAAACTTGGTGGTGGTCTCTAGTTGGCTGCCCAGCGCCTAGCCCTGGGAGGCCCCCCAAGGCTTGCGCCCCGCCCAGAGGCGGATTTTTTTTTTTTTTTTGGGTCTTTTTTAAAGATATAAAAGGTTAGAATGATGTGTTTTAGGTTCATTTGAAACCTAAACCCACAAGAACCCATTTTAGAGAGAAATAAATATCCAAAAAACTACATTTCATTTGATCGAAGTGTTTCTCAAATTTTGAAGTTCAAGCGATCAAAATAAGGGCAAAAGTTTATTTTTTAGATTGCTTGATTTATTTTAAGATGTCTCCTATTGGAGTTAGTCGGATTGCAGATCCAGGTTGGAAATATGGATACAACCCGAATCCAAATGACAAAAATTGCATTAGATGCAATTTTTATAAAAAATATACAAAAGGAGGCAAAAACCGGTTTAAGAAACATATTGCCGGTATTAAAAGGGATGTTGCCCCTTATAAAAATGTCCTTGAAACTATCAGAGAGGAGATTAAACAATATATAAGTTATGTAAAACAAAAACAAGAACAAAATCATTGTCATAGATCTATTTCTGCTACTTTTAGAAAAAGTGATCCAGGTTGGAAGTACGAGTACAACCCAAAACCAAATGATAAAAATTGTATTTTGAAGATAGATATTTCAAACACTAAATGTGATTCGTACATGATATGTAAATAGGTTGACAGTTCTACAAGGGTCCATGTATTTTTTTTGAGAATTATATATATAAGGCAAGGTTTGAGAAGTGGGACCTCTGAATCAAACTAGTCACCCATTGGTTTTGAATTAAATTGGCTAGCTTGGCGAGTTAGATCGGTGATCACAGGTATTAAAAAAAGTGAGGAAAAGATAAATATGGGGTATAAAAAAATGGCAAATAAAAAGTAAAAATCACTTACAATTAAAATCAATTTTTAGATTTTATCTAGTAGGGGCTATAAATTAAAGGGTGCGGTTTGTTTAAGGTAGCAACCTTATTTGTAAAAATACCATCCATTTTAAATAGATGGTGTGAATTTAACGCATCTTTTAATATAGTCTCAATATATGGTGTGTCTTTTAAGAATCTACACTATCCAAATAAAATGAATGGTGTATATTACTGCAACCTTATTTCTACAAATGAGGTTACAACCTAATGTAAAATTTTTCCTAAATTAAAATAAAAACCAAAAAGCAAAGTTAAAGAACACTTAAATTAAACTGAACAATTTCAAAGTTTAAAAGAAAACTCAATCTATCATCTATTTCATCTGATAGATGCCACATATCCAAAAAAAATGATTTAGATCTTATAAATAGTTGAAGACAAAAAGAGTTTTTTTAAAAGAAAAATAGGTAAAAGATAGAAGAGAATCAAATAAAATTGCTGAAAAATGGTGAAAAAAAAGAAGCAAATGTCAATCCCCTAGTATTCACTTAGTAATTTATCATTCATGAGCAAAACTTAAGTTAATAATTAGGTCATATAGACACGAATGCATGTCCGTGTTTGATAGGTATATATATCAAAAATGCCAAGAAAAAGCAGACCTTTTGGATACGATATATACGTACACCATTTTAAAAAGAGGGGATGGCTTATATGTGACACTAACCATATTTTTGTAGTTAACTTTAAAGAAAAAATGCTAGGAAAAAATATGCAAGTTTCTAAAGTGCCATACATTAATATCGGATATCATTGACATGCAAAACGCCACGCAAAAATACAACCACAAAACACACTATCTGTCTATCTACATTGGTCTCTCTTAAGTCTCAATATCGTTCAGATTATATGCATGGGTTTCCAATTTTTGGGGTATCCTCTTTCTTATCTTGATCTAAATCTAAAGTAATTCCGGGGTGGAAAGTAACTAGTGGCACGTACATGATGGTAAATAAGGAGAGGAAGTTTATTCTTTGTTTTTGTGCTCACTGAACATTCAAACAATGATTTATCAATAATAATAAGATGAGGTTCGATAATGCCTAAGCTTTATCCTCACTGGGAAAAACTTTCGGCGACAGAAATTCTTATAATAGCTGTAAAATCAATTTCCAACACCAACAATAAAATTAGAAACTAAAAAGTTGGTATGGATCTTGTGAATCCATGGCCACTTATTTTTTAACAAAAAAGGGCAATCTAGATAATTTGTTACAATATACACTATTTTTAGAGCTTGAAATCCTAGTATCTTTTCACAACCGCAATGCTCAAATCGAGATGATCGATGCACAGGTTTTACAATGCTTGACTTGCAATTTTTGATGATTTACGAGGTGAAGATTTACTTGTTTTGATAGGGCTGCAGCCCTATCAAACCATTTTCCAATAAAATTAAGCAGGGCTACTCCTTGTCCCTGAGATTGGAGCTATCTCCCAAACTTGCATGAACCAACATTTTCAGAGTTTGAAAAGGTTGCCCACTGTCAAATTGCATAATATTCTAAAGGCTAGTTTGGATGGACCAATGAATGGGTTTTGTAAGTCTTCGGAGGTTTTGTACTAGTGTCTTCTTCCCTTTATGCGGGAACCCCACTTTTGTATAACACACCAACATGTTAAGTGATAAAAAGAAAAAAACTAATTTTCCTTTATTCTGTAATGACAGAAAAAATAAGCCCTGGAACCCCCTTCAAACTTGCTCTATTGCCATTCCGGAGAACTCTCATTATTGAAAACTCAGTAAAGATGTAAATTCCATCCACATCGAGAAGCCCTCACTCACTCTCTCTCTCTCTCTCTCTCTCAGACACACTCCCTCTCACGCACTCGCACACATACATGCACACACATACAGTTATCCAACCTCCATAAAGGCATCATTGTTACTTCCTATTCCCTAGTATAATATTAGAAGCCACATAATGCAAGCTTTTTGTTTGCAGAGCAGCTCCAATATGTCAAAATGATTCAAACAAATAAGACATTTAGGGAGACAATTGTCGTTCTATCTCTCATGCCACTATTATGCCTTCTACCACTTAACAAAAAAAATTGATATTTCTAAATTAAGGGTAAAACAAAAAGAAATGCTAAAAGGAACATCTTTGTATCACCATCGAACACCCAAGTAAACCATTACATGTAAGAAATGAAAGGCCCTAGTAATAGAATGTAACAAATTACAGCATTCTCCAGTGCTGATGCAACTTCTTACCCATCTCGGCTAGGAAGAGGGGGGTTTTTCAAGCAGTAAACATAGATTGCGAGAAGAATAACGAGGATGATTATGATACTCTGGATATACCAACCTGCAAAAACATCAGGCACAATCAGATACCTCCATCGAAACCATGGCAGTACAAAGCATGAGAAAAAAAGAACGAACAAACGGTAAAACAAACCCTTATTTTGCCGGGCTTCAACCACTGTCACCCTTGCACTTGAATCACCAGAAACAGAAACCAAAGCCCTGAAACAATGCAAAGCAAACATGTATTATTTGAGAACAAGACGAGGAAAACCTGGAATCCTGGGAGAAATCCATGGATGCAACAAATATCAGGTGTGCCTCTTTTGGAGTCTTCGCTGCACCAGCATATTATTTGAGAACAAGACGAGGAAAACCTGGAATCCTGGGAGAAATCCATGGATGTAACAAATATCAGGTGTGCCTCTTTGAGTCTTTGCTGCACCTGCATATTGGATGCTTTGATAATAGCAATGTCACCCTCAATAGTTCCCCTGCAAAATGAACATAGGGGAAACTTAGAACACTAGAAAAAAGAACAAGAAAAGATAAGATGCCAATTCACTAATAATGAGTATATAAACACAGCCATGCCAATATCACCACATGCGAAAAACATCAGATGAATGCTGTGAATGTTCATCTATGGCATTAAAGCATCCAAGAAGCCCAGAGAGTCATCAATGTTCGAAGTACATTCAGAAATGCATCATGAAAGCATTATGAACGACACTAAAAATTGATCTTATGAAAAAATTCATCTGCGAGTGCTAACAAGTCAATAAAATATGACCAGTGATGGTTTGCACCATAATTCCAGGGAAATAAAAAAGCTCAAAAGTAACAATAGGCATGAAGGATTATTCCCATTTTAAATTTCAGAAATAATTGTGTACAAAGGTATCCTCATAGTATAAAAGATGGTTAAAGAAGTATGCTCCGTCCAATAAAGTTGAATAAGGACATCCCAAACATTACAAGTAGCATAGATTATAGATATTTGTTCTTTCATCTGGCACTTCAAGAACATAGCTATTTACGGTCAACCAAGGTTGCTGCATATGGGAGCAACCTGGATAAAAAACTGCATGGTACTCAACAAGCTGTGGTAGCTACAAAAGGTTGTAATAATTCAGAGTCATGTGGAGAAGAATGGGGAAGAAAGGAGGGAAGAGAGAGATGAGAGACAAGTAGCTCCTTTTGGCAGGAGGCTACTACAGCACCCAAAATGTAAGACTAGCCAGAATCAGGATGAGTGCTTTGCTCTTTAAAGGGTCAGGCGTCGTAGGATGGCTAATTTTGGATCGTCAGCACCCTCCTTAGTGAGGGTGTTTGCTAAGGCATTTGCACGTCCCCAAATGTGAAAAAGAAATACTCATGGAGCCACTAGCTTCATTGCTTTCTTGAAAACGTGCTCCCAAGACAAGGGACAGGGAGAAAACTTTTTGGCCCAATTGATGGCATCCATGAGTCACCCTAAACGACCAAGGAGGAACCCCATGGTGCTCAAACAACTTAGCCACATTGGTAGTGCCTGTGCCTCGGCAACAATTGCTTTCGTGTTTCCAATTGGACCTGAAAAAGACAAAGAAGGCAGATGCTTCACAGTTCTTGACTACGCAATCTATTCCCGCGCTTCCTGGATCAATGTAGGAACATCTGTTGAAATTAAGTTTGACTTTTCCTGGTTTGCGAGGGACCCAAAAAAATAGGTCTAGTGGTGCCCATGGGGGTGAACCTTGAGATGTGCTGCCAGTTTGGTAAGAAATCAGAAGTGGAGAAGGAAGTGAACTCCTTTCTTAGTCCAGTGAATCTATTGACAGTGATCGTTAGTTTGTCTTTCAGGTCCTCTATATAGGATCCCCAAGCCTCAAATATCCTCTTGTTATGCTCATTTCAAATGATCCAAACCAGGGCCAAAATGCAGATCTCCAAAGGAGAAGACCAGTAATATCCTCTTGTTATGCTCATTTCAAATGGTCCAAACCAGGGCCAAAATGCAGATCTGCAAAGGAGAAGACCAGACCCTGGGAGGGTGAGCTAACAGTAAACTGCGTGAGACTTGTCTGACACCCCCAATATGAACCCCCTCAAAGTCAAAGCGGTTTAGGAGGAGAGACCACTGTTTGATGATGGTTATCTCACATAGCAGGAACAGGTGGTCAGGCAAGTTTCACACCTTTACACATGATACAACGGTTTGCTAGATGAATCTCCCTTCTTTAAAGGCAGACGACATTTAAGGTCTCCTCGTGAATAAGTAACCAGAAAAAAGCCTGATCTTTAGGGGGGTACTGGGGTGAACCATGCTTTGTTAGTCATAACCAGGTTTGAAGGGCATGGTCCAAGTTGTTTGTAGAAAGAGGGCACTGAGAACCTACCTAACTTTGCTGGCTGCAACACCAGGTTATCTCAGGCATTCAGGGTAAAGTGAGGGTTGAGAAGATAAAGAAATACCTCAAGCAGTCGGGTTTCTTGGTCAATGAGGTTCGTTTGGTATCTTGGGTCCAGACAGCGTGACCCTAATGATTTTTGCAAGTTTCTGATATGGGGCATTCTTGGTTGATCGCAACCTGAACCAAGTGTGGCACTAATGTTTTCATATTTCGATCCCCTGCCCATGGGCTCAGCAAGGGACTTATGATGAGGTGTTTCTGCACACCTCTTTGTTTGTCTGCATAGCACACAAAATCTATCATCCCATCTGTGAAATACCGGAAGAGCCACAATCCATTCATTCACTACTGCTCTTCAGTTGATATATTCGAAATGCATAAGCCATAGCTTCCCATATACTTGTCAGATATGGGAGAACAATCTAGCCCGAAATCTTAACCACTCATGTGGTTGCCACTATAGGAGTCCAGTGAGGCTTGCACATCACGTAAAACTGATAGATTTTGAACAGAAGATGCTTATTGTAGTGCATAACAGGTAGAGAAGTTGATTTGGATCTAATTTCACCTACAGGAGAAAGTATCTCCTAGAGGGAAGTTTTTTTATTGTGTGCCACGTTTCCTAGAGGAAAGTTAATCCCCTTTCTCACAGATGGTTCCAGAACCAAGGAGCATAAGCAAGTCTTCCCTAAGCTTTCACACCTACACTAGAATGTTTTGTTTTGATGCTCCAATCATCGCTGGATCTTCTGTAGGTCACAATTGAATATCCTTCTTTTATCAAGTGCTCTACAAATTCACTCCATTCTTTGAGAAAGCAAAAGCAATGCACCAATTCAGTAACACATTTAGTGCATCTGATAATGTACGTCACGTATTGTAAATCGTTAACAAGGATAGCACAAATAATGCCTATCCTTGACCTAAGAGCAAAAATGAATAATAATTAAATAAACTCTAGAGAGCTACAAATGCTGATACTAATAAGCCACCCAACATGTCAAATGCAATCCAAGCTTTGATATTACCATCATCATCATCATTTTAGCCTTTTTCCAATTATGCTGTGATAATGCTTTGATATTACCAATGAACAGAAAGAACATAAGAACATGCACATGCCTGAAGGCACTCACATGCGCATGTGCACACACACCTACAGATGTAGAAGGAACAACAGACATCAAGCACAACCCCAGGTGTCATATCAAGGAAGGTTCAACAAAATTCAAAGATTGGAAGTTGATAAGCGAAAAAGTAAAAGAATTTACACTGCTAGCAATTGTCCATCAGGTGAAATGGTAAATGCAGAAATGGGGTACTGAGCAACTAGCTTTGTCTCAACTCTTTTCCACGTAATGGTTTCCCATGACGCGATCCATCCTTTGTCTCCTGCGAAGTTAGTTCCAATACAAATTACATTTATTTTCCTTATTGGTAACCTAGGGCACAAGAATAAGAGCCCAAAAATCACTGCCATTTATCTTACCTTTCTTAATAGTTGTAAATAGCAGCCGATTATCATCATTACGTGAAAACCTACACAAGCCAAAATTCTCATCCTAAAAAAGAGATATCATCAGAACTAAGCAGAGAATTCCAAAATAAAATGCAGCGCTGTCTCATGGAAATAAATCACTGACCCTTTCCTTTGCTAATGTGGTTATCGCAGATGAAGATGAAAGGTCCCACACTCTGCCCGGCCCACGGTCACCCAAGGAGGCAAGCCACTTACCGTCAGAGCTATATGAAATACGAAACCATTATTCTCTACGTTGAATATGTTCGTCAAAATATAAAACAAAATTACATTCAAATGTTTGAACTCGAGAGGAACTCCAAAAAAATAGCAGAATAACATCTAGGGACGTTTTGAAGTACCAGAAATCTAAATCCTTTACAGATATATGAGCCCCAGGCTGGTCAAGAATGATGTCCACGTTTGGCCACTTAAAAACTCTCAAATGTCCATCCTGCATTGGCAACAAAATTAAGAAATCAGAAAACAAAATGTCCACCAAGCCCTAGAAATCAGTGCAACAAAGACTCACAACACATACAAGTGAAGGAACCTTAAAGATATTGTTAGATCACAAAAAGATATTGTTAGATCAAATAACACTAATATGAAGGCAAGAAATGTACATGCCAGCTCTCTCAAAAATTCATAAGGAAAATTATCATATTTTTCTTAGAGTAATGATCCTATAGGACCCTCCCCCACCCATGTGTGTAGGACCCCCCAAACAATCACTATTAAATTAGGCATGGATCTCTAGGAAAAGTTATCACATGAGAGTGGGACTTGACTTTTTTAGAGATCCGTGCCAAATTTAATGGTGATCCTTTGGGGTCCTACACACATGGGTGGGGGAGGGTCCTATAGGATCGTTTCTCTTTTTCTTATTACCTACCAAATATTTTAATTTTTTTTTAGATGAAAGACTACCACCTCCCAGACTCATACTTGTAAGATCTTTCATAGTGGTGATGCATCAGATCAGTCTATTCCTTGGGCAAAAGAATATGCATTGGTTGGATATGATTGCCACAGATTTTCAAGTTTTCAAATGAGCTAGTGCTCATTTTTGCCAGAATAATGTGGCTCTAATGCTTGCAGCGCTTCATATAGCCCCCCCCCCCCCCCACCCCCCACCCCCCTTTGTGGGGTAGCACATTTACACACTTAATAAATCCAGTCATAATTGTGTCATTTGTGTGTATATCCTTGTCAACATAAAAAAAAATTGGGTTCAAACAATAACCAGCTGCATGCAATGACCGATTTAGCTATCTATCCCACTTCTCATCAATAATCTCCCGAACAGGCTTATAACAGTTCTCATCATCATCAAAATTTTAGGTTATTTATCACGTAGTCTCATATATGTAGCCCATAGAAGCCTTGTCACTATCAACCATGCGAAAGAATTTGACAAGAAGAAAAAATGCCCTAAGAGCGTCATTCATCTCTCGCTAAAAAGCCTTAGAAAGGATAATATCTCTCACCTTCTTCTCAACCTGATCCTTGGACCACTTGCATGCTCTCAAGTTGTCCAAGGTAAACATCTGCCTCAATTGCACTATCCTCGAATGTATGCTATCTAAGCATAAGTACTAGGTTGCAAATCTCGTGACCCCATGCCTCACAATCTCTTTCTTCTTTGTAAATCTATGCATCATGCTGAGGGTGAGATGGTGGCTATAAATAAAATTCATAACTGACTTTGCCTTCTTCACTGTACCTGATATCTCAGTTAAATCGCCAAAAGCCTCAAGCATAAGGTCTATACAATGTGTTGCATATGGTGTCCAAAAGATTCTAGGATGAGCAATACGCAACAAATTAGCAGCAACAATATTAGGAGCAGCATTGTCTGTGACAACCTATACAACAAGATGCTCCTCAACCTCTTTGATTCCCTTCTTTATAACTTGAAATATGTAATGGGCATCATGGATATAATCAGATGCATCAATAGACCTGAAAAAAATAGTCCTTAAAGGACAATTCAAAAGCAAATTCATCTGACTTCTTCTCTTCTTATCACTCCAAGCATTAGTCATAATAGAAACTCCATACTGAGCCCATGCATCCTTCTTAACTTCTACAGCATCCTTTGTGACACTGACCGTTTTTTTTCAAAAGAGGCTCTGAAAGCTTATATGAAGTTTGGGATTTTATCCCAGGCCCAAATTGGCCAATTGCCTCTACCAAGGCATAGAAGTTGCTTAGGCAAGTGGTATTGAAAGGAATGTTCGCCTCATAAAACCATGTAGCAATAAAAAAAGCAGCTCTAACTCTCTTCCTTCTTCATTCTATTTTCAATAGTGGTTTGCTTCTTTGTTCTCTCCTGCAACCTTCAGGTCAAGTCGGGGCAAAAACTATTCATAGGGCCTCTAACTCAAGGCTGCTTACTCCCCAAACCAAAAACAATTACAACTCCCTTTCCCTTCTCCCTAATAATGGATTATTCTAACCAGTGTTTCAAAAAGAGCTAGGTAGGGCCTAGGCGGCCTGGGGGGTCTAGGCCACCTAGCGCCTAGGTGGGGGCCCAGAACCTGGGGGGCTGCCCAGTTGAAAAAAAAATAAAAATCGTACCCATTTACCAATATACCATATTCCAAGTTGAAAAAAAAAAAGATAAAAGTCAAAAAGAGAATTTTGATAATCTATATTGACATATTGTTAAAATAGTAAACTGTAAGTAAAACCATACAAGTGTAGGATATAAAAGTCCACTCAACACAACAGAAATATACAGAAATTTAGAAAATATACAGTCTAACAAAAATCAACACTCATGACTCAACACAACAGTCAACAGACTCAACACTCAACACCAAGAGGCAGGAGTCTTCAGTCATCATCATCATCATCATCATCATCAAAAAGAATATCAATAGGGCAAGCCTCATCATATGCATCAGAGTCGAGGCCATCATTATCAAGAGTCGAGGCCATCATCATTAGAGTCATCTCCCTCTTCAATATAACGCTCGTCCTCCTCTGTTTCTTCTGAATCTGCCTCTTCCTCCTCCTCTTCTTCTACCTTCTTCTTACTAGTATGTGAAGATGAAGTCCTAGAAATCTTGGCTGCTCTACTCTTTTTTTTTGTGCTTCTCTAAACTCAAATATTGTATAATTTTCTCCTTGATAGCCTCAGGAACATTTTTACAGGGGCAACATCCCATGTAATACCGACAAGGTGTTTTTTAAATCGGTAAATGCCCCCATTAGTATCCTTTTCACAATAATTACATTTAATACGATTTTTATCACTTGGATTCTGGTTATAACCATACTTCCAACCCGAATCACCACTCCGACTAGAAGCTAGAAGATACTTTCATAGAACAAGGCTTATTTTCATCCTTTTTTGGTTCTTCAAAATTCAGAAGATGTCTATTCTCATCTCGAACTGCTTCATGAACCTTTGTACAAAAAGCAACATTACCTCTAACACTGGCAAGATGTTTCTTGAATCGGTTAATACCCCCATTGGTATCTTTTTTACTAAAATTACACCTTATACAATTTTTATCATTTGGTTTTGAGTTGTACCCATACTTCCAACCCGGATCACTTTTTCTAGGAGTAGCAGAAATAGATCTATGACAAGGATTTTGTTCTTGTTTTTGTTTTACATAACTTAAAAATTGCTTAATCTCCTCTTTAATAGCTTCAGGAACATTTTTACAAGGGGCAACATCCCCTTTAATACCGGTAAGATGTTTCTTAAACCGGTTTATGGCTCCTTTTGTAACTGTTTTACAAAAATTGCATCTAACGCAATTTTTGTCATTTGGGTTCAAATTGTATCCATATTTTCAACTTAGATCTCCACTCCGACTAGCTCCTGAAGAAGACATCTCAAAACAAAACAAGCAATCTAAAAAATGCACTTGCTTTGGTTGCTGGAACTCCAAACTTTGAGAAACACTTCGATGATTCGATCCAATGAAATGTAGTTTTTTAGAGGTTTCTTTTAATCTAAAAGGGGTTCTTGTCGGTTTAGGGTTCAAATGAACCTAAAAGCCATCATTCTTAACTTTTATATCTTTGAAAAAAAACGAAAAAAAAAAAATTACTTTTTCGCCTCTGGTCGTGGCGCAGGCCCTGGGCGGCCACCCAAGGTTGGGCACAGAGCGGGCGCCTAGGCGGGCCCAGGGACCACCACCCAGTTTGACAACCTAGGCCTGGGCGATGCACTCAGGCGTTCAGGACCACCTAGGCGCTGGACGGTCCGTTTTTTTGAACAATGGTTCTACCTCTTGACATCCCTCCCAATCCTCATCACTATCATTATCATCATAACTGTCCCGAACCCCAGACCTCATCTCTGCTATGGAGGCAAATTTCTCATCTTTTTTCATTTTTACTGTACTCAAAAAATTGATTATTTTCTCTTTAACAACATCAAGAGTCATTTTACATGGGGCAACATCCCCTCTGATACCGGTAAGATGTGTCTTGAACCAATTTATGCCCCTTTCTCTATCCTTCTCGCTAAACTTGCATCTTATTCAATTTTTATCATTAGGATCTAGGTTATAGCCATATTTTCAACCGGGATCACCACTCCTATTAAATCCCGAGGAAGACATCTCAAAATAATACAATTTATACAAGCAATAAGAAAAATGACTTCTTTTGATTGCTCAAACTCCAAATTTCCACCTCAAAGATGCTTCTAAGGACACAAAATCTTCTAAAAAACCCTCCAATAGATTTATAAAATATCAAAAATTAAAACTAATATAAATGGGCGATGCTTTGATCAATTTCTCATAACTTTGAGAAACCCTTCGATCATAAAGAAATCACCAAAAACTATTTTTTAGGGGGTTTTTTCTCTCTAAAATAGGCTCTAATGAGTTTTAGGTTTCAAATGAACCTAAAACCCACATTTTTTGCCCCATAGTATAAAAAACAATGACACAAAATGCCCCCTACCGAGTGGATTTTCCATATCTGAACAGGGCGCAATCCCCGGGCGACTACCTAGGTGGGTTCCTGGGCGCCCAGGTGGGTGCCCAAGGTTTTCTGCCTTTTTTTGGAGCCTAGGGCTAGGCGATGCACCTAGGCACCTTGGACTACCTAGGCGGTCGCCCAAGCGCTGAGCAGTTCACTTTTTGAAAAACAGGGTGTAACACAAGAAATGGATGTAGACAGAAAGGGTTTAGGGTAGTACTTGGAGATAAGATTTATAACTCCTACAAAGTTCATGATAGAAACATTTTGGGGTGTCGATGATAGGACACCTAAAGAGGGTACAGCACAAGCTAGGTCGGTCCATAGGGAAGGCTTTGACGAATTTAAGGTAAAGTTTAGTGTTAGATTTGAACAGTTTAATGGAGGTCGAATTGCTGGAATTTAACAGACCAACAAGATACAAAAATGAAAGGAGGGAATCTGGTGTTACTGTGTTAGTTTTTAGAATAGAAAAAACAAGGGAAGGTAGGTATATTA